CCACAGAGCGCCCCGGGGTCCACCCAGCGCACCCCACAGCGTTAGGGGACACGGGGGGGACCGGAGCATCCCTGGGGACACCTCTGCCAGCCAGGTCGCACCGCAGGCTGCTCCGGCTGCTCTTGCAGCGGGGAGAGGGGAGACGGGCAGCAGCCCCCCGGGGCGGGCAGGACACGTCACTGGTGCTTCTTGCCCACGTGCAGGCTGGCAGGAGTGGCGGGCAGGAAGAAGGCAGGGCAGCGCAGGCAGCGGTAGGCCAGGAGCTGGGGGCCCAGCGCGTAGAGGACGTTGGTGAGGAGGAAGCTCCACCAGACATCTTCAGGGGTCTGGTAGGGGAAGGGCGTGCGGGCGTGCAGCGAGGAACCCAGGTGGGAGAACTGAGCCTGGGGACACAGGGCAGGGGGTGACACCGGGGGGTCCGGCAGCAGCGGGCTGGCCCGGTGCAGCCTACCTGGCACCAAAGGGTGTTTCACAGGAGCACACCCAGCGCGTCCTATCTATAGACCTGCGGGATCGCTCCAGCCTATTTCTGTCAAACTAATCCCTGGCTCCATTAAGATCCACCGAGGCCAAAGTAATTATCAGGCAGCGGCGGTGGGAACTGCTCCACATGCAGCTGCGGGTATGGATCTGTCCCCCCAGGCTCAGCCCCGACTCCCCGCTTGCTCTCTCCTGGCTGGGACCAAAACCCAGCCCGGGGGTCCCGCTGTCCTCCCCCCACACCCGGCAGCCGGGGGAAGGACGATGGGGCAGCCCTCACCTGCGCGATAGCGCCGGCAAACACCAGGCTCCAGTCGGGCAGCCAGGAGCAGCCGGGCAGCACCAGCCCGTAGATGCAGAGGCAGAAGAAGGGGAGGACGTAGAACATGTAGATCAGCATCTGGGGGGGACGCAGAGAGGGTCACCCTGTCCCTGGCGGCACGGGGGGGCTCCAGCCCCAGCTCGACCCCACTCACCTGCACTTTGGGGTAGGCGACGGGGTCGCGCAGGTACGGCTCGTGCTGGTAGATGTACTCGAAGCACGAATCGGCGGGACAGTCCAAAACCACCTGGGGATGCAGAGAGTGAAGAGGAGGTGGGCGCGGGGCAGATGCACCCACCCCGGGACCCCCGCGGCCCCTCCGGGACCCCCGTGCAGGGACCCAGCACTCACCATCCCCCTGAAGAAGGTGAACGCGGCGGTGAGGAACAGGACGAGGACCAGCCCCATGTCCTGGGGCCGCTGGTACAGGTGCTTGCGTTGCTCCTCTGCAACCTGGGAGAGGGAAAACACCTTATTTTTGGTTCCGCGCCCTGTGGTCCAGCACCAGGAGGGGGATAAGGCTGACGGCTCCCGGTGCAGCTCCCCGCAGAGCCCCTGCCCTGGCTCAGGCTCCCATCTCACCTTCTCAGGGCTGAGGCACGGCAGGGCCTTGGGTTGCTGGAAGAGCCTCACCCCAGCCCAGATGGGGATGAGGACGTAGGGCAGGTTGAGCAGGAAGGCAGGGCTGAGGTCGGAGCTGTATTTCCCTGGGGAAGGAGAGCACGTGGTAGGCACGGCGGAGCGCTCGGCGCCCAGTATCGATACCTGCCGTTTGCCCCCAGGTCAGCACCTTCCTCCTCTGCCCGCGGGGCAAGGGCCTGGGAGCAAACCTGCCGGCCAGACGGGGGGATGGAGGCAGCCTGGAGGGATCAGCAAGGGCTGGACGTGGAGCTGAGCCCCCCTCTGCACCCGCATACCTATCAGGTTCCCAAGCAGGAAGACAACGATGCTCATCATCAGAGAGCCCAGCCAGAAGAGACCCAGGTTCCTGTAGCTCTTTCTGCAGAGACAGCCGGGATCAGACACCCCCGCCAGGCTCAGAGCTCCCCTCCTCACAAAATGTGGGACCCTCCTGCCCCCGCGAGCCCCTCCAAGCTCGCTTCCCCGCCGCTGTCTCTGCTCACCTCTGGCCGATGGCCGCGATCATGGCGAGGTAGAGCCCGTAGTGGATGATGCCGTCCCAGTAACAGATCATGATGCCGTGTGCCGTGCGCAGGTAGGGCTCGCCCTGCCCGTTTGAGGACAGCGGATCATACGGGGTGGGGGCAGGCGCCTTCCCACACCCCCTCCCCATGCACAGGACTGCTCCGTGCATGGTGCCTCCGCGGCAGGAGCAGCTTTGGGAGCAGGAGCAGCATCCATGCTTGACCCGGGTGCACAGGGCTGCTCGTTGCAGGGCCAGGGTGCGCGAGAGCCTGAGGTGGGGTGAGGTGGTACCTCTCTGACGTAGACCTCCACGAAGCCAGAAATGTAGCCATCCTCCTCCAGCGAGATGATCAGGTCGACGACGGAGGTGAAGGAGAACACCACAAACACTGCGGGAGAGCGAGCCAGCTCTGAGCGGGGCCCACGGCTCTCCCCACATCCCAGATATCCGCTCCCTGCCCCGGCACGGGATCAGTCCCCACACCCCAGGGGGTACTCACCGCAGAAAAGGGGGTCCTGGAAGTGGCTCCCTCCGCTTACAAAGAAGATGATGGAGATGAGACCGGCGAGCACCAGCACCCCCGTCAGCATCAGCACCAGCGGGCTGCTGCAGAACAGGGGGACGGGTTCAAGCACCCCGGGCACAGCCAGGGGGTGAAGCCCCGTTTCCCCCGGTCCGGGTGAAACACCCTTTGCCCCCGCCGATTTTGACAGGTCTCCACCAAAGCAGGGGGAACGGCAGGATCAGACCCCGCACCCCCGGCACAGGTAGGGTCCCACGGCGGCACAGGGTGCTGCCCGTCCTCAGCGGAGGCGGGGGGAACGGCTTCTCCAGGGTCTGAAATAACCCCGGGGAGGCAAAGCCCGGAGGAAGGCTGGGTCTGACACCCAGGCATGGACGGGGAAGGGGCTGCCTCGCCAAGGCTCCTGTGCCAGGGCAGGGGAGAAGCCCCAGCGTGGCCAACCCTCTCCCTCTCCAGGCTGTGGCGATGGGCCAGTGTTATAAAAGACCAGGGAAAGCAAATCGGTAACGAGGAGACAGATACTGAAAACGTGTCCTAAGAGAGTGAAGTTGTAGGGAAATCTGTCCTGAGCTTGCTGCATCCCCTCCAAGAAGCTATTGCATCAGCTGGAAAAGCTACAGCTCTGGTCTAGCCAATACTTCTGCTAGGAAACACGGAAAACATTACGGTCTTTTTCACTCAAGCCTTTAACCCTGTTACCAAAGAAAAAGAAAAGGTAAAGTCGTGGCTGACTGTCTGCAGACACCGGTGTTAATAGTTTATCCTGGAGAAACACCCAATTACCAGCCCGAGCGCTCCTCGGCGCAGCACGGCGGACGTGCCGACTGGGGACAAAAGGCCAGCCGTCCCCCCGCCCCAGGGTCACCCGGCTGAGAACAGCTCAGGTCTCATTTATAGGAGGCTGCGACAACACCCGGCTCGTGTTTGCCTTGTGCAGGCGGAATTGCTCTTCCGCGGACAGGGACAGCGGCCGGGGAGCGCGGGACCCCACGCCCAGGGACAGGACGGGCGTCACAGCAGCACTGAGCGAGGCTGAGCTTGTCCTCCCCGCGTGCCCCAAGCATCCAAACCGACACAGATGCTCTCGAAAAAAAGTCAAAACAATCAAATAATTGAAGTGTCACCGCCTAAGTGCATTATTACTAGTGTATAATTAATTACTACACAACTAATTACTCCCACAGAATGATTAATTCAAAATTCAAATACAGATGCTGCGGCGGAGTAGCACAACGCCGGGCTCCTCCGGTCACTGTAAGATGTGACCGTGTGTGTGATGGGGCTCAAAATGCATGCTGGCACCGGGGCCACCCCACACACGTACCGGCACCTTGGGGTGCCGCGCTCAGGGCACCCAGCTCACCCTGCCAGGCTGAGGGGCTTCGAGGCCACCATCGCTCGTCCCGCAGCAGGGACTAATTAAGAAACAGGGGGACGTGCCCCCTCCACATCCTCCCGCGACGCCTGGGCAGGAGAATAATATTGTTACGGGCTTCAGTTTGGGGGCCAGGCTGGAGGGGTCAGGGCTCCCCACAGCTACAGATGGTTTTCACCCGGTGCCGTGTCGAGCAGGAGGGCTGCGGATTTCATAGCGATGGATCCCGGAGATCTGGGCTGCGACAGTGCGGCGCCACGTGGGATGGAAGGGAAAGAGGAGACCGGAAAGACGGGAATGAAAACCGGGAGATCTTTAAGTGAAGTTTATCAGGTGGGCAGGAAAGCCCCGGCTCTGCGATTAAGAGAAGTTTGGCTAAAACCCCTTTCTGCTGGTAAAGCAAAAGCAGAAATTAGCGATAAAAAGAAATGTGGCGAATGGGAAAAGGAGGGTGAAGGGGGCCTGGCGGGAATGAAAGGATAGAAAGTGCAGTAAAGTGAGGAGAGAACACAAGGGAAAACCCCATAGCTGGCAGGTCCTGGGGCGTGAGACTGGAAATGGGAGAAAAGAAACCGAGAGAAAAGAAACCGGCCGGAGTGTGGTTTTACATAGAAGAGAAATAAAGCACGTAAGGAAGCGGTGGGGCTCTGGCCAGCTCACCAGGGAGCTGACCCTGGCTGGCGGCTGGTACCAAACCCCCCGACGCGAGGGTGCCGGCCGGCCGGGGGTGTGCTGAGCAGCCAGAACGCGGCTGGGTTGGGGCATCACGGGGGTGTCGCTCAGCAGTAAAACCGAAAGCGGGGCTGTTATCAGGCAGCGTGACGGTGGCGATGACGAGGCCAGCGCGGAGGGGTGGCATCGGCCACGCTGAGACACGCCAGCGGTCAAGTTGCCAGGGGGGGTCTCTCTGGGAGGGGGAGATGGGGCTTGGAGGGGTCCCCAGCGCCCGGGGAGGCACGGCTGCGTATGGAGGGGACACCCAGTGTCGGGGGTCCTGTCCCTCTGGCCCGGGGGGGCTGTGCTGGGGCCAGGTGGCTGGAGAGGATGCTCATAAATCAGGGAGGCGCTGAGCACCCTAATCCCCGGGGGATTTGGGCTGTAGGCGAGCCCCGTTATGCTCCGCGTTGTGCAATGAGCCCGAGCAAACCCTGCTGCACGTCTATTCACTGACAGTGGGATTTAAAAGTCATAAAGGCAGCCATGAACCACGTCGGCAAAGTCCCAGTCTGCAGCGGCCTTTCTGTGGGCTCAGCCGGGGCAGGACCGAGCCCCCTGCCCCGGGCTGGACCGTGCCGCTCCCCCCAGCCCCAGGAGGGACCCAGCACCCTGTCCTGGACACCCCTCCACCCTCATGAGCCGGACCGTCCCGGCCCCCGAGCTTCGCTTCC